AGGACTCGAAGATGAAATCGAACAATCACTGGAGAAAACGACAAAGTCCCGCCATCCTTGTATCGACCCCATACCATTACCCAACGACTCGTAACGTAAGTGGATCGCTATCCGCATCACCTCGATCGGCAACATCCTCAAACTTACCTTTTCATCCCCAGACACCAGCTACGTACAAGTATTCCACCTCTGAGAATCTAGATTGCACTTTGGCCTAGACCCCTATTCTATGTTTAGAAGGAGCCTAGCGTATGTCTTAGACGCAAGCGAGGAGCCTCAAGTCAACATTCGTTTGCATGTTATCGAAGACACTTTGCGGAAGTCTCATTGAAGCTCAAGCTGAAAGATCCAAGATCCTCCAAGATCAACGGAAAGGGGGTCGGTCGGTGTGTCTCACACCTCTCAAGCATCACCTCCAGCCATGTACAATCTTCCCTCCCATGGCCTCAACCTTCTCCTTTCGCCCTTCCCCCCTTCTTCGTTTCCATGGTTTCCGACCATAAACTTCAACTCCTTTTCATGCTCCGGCAACACCACCTCCTGCTCCTCATTGCTAAAGTTCAGAGCAACTACAACCTCTTTACCTCCGAATCTCTTGACGAACACAAACGTCTTCTCATTCTCGATATCACACGCCTCGAACGTTCCATGCACCAGCACCTCGCCATGTTGCTTGCGGAAACGGATCATGTCTTTCCAAAAGCTGAGCGTCGAGTTCGGATCGTCGAGTTGCTTGGCCACGTTGATCTCGGGATACAGGTCGTGGACGTGCGCCCAGGCACCTTCCTTCCTTTCAGTGAACCCAGCATACGGACTGTCATCCCACTGCATAGGTATCCGGGCGTTATCTCTGCTCAGTGTCTGGAGGCTGCGCATCACGTACGCCATCTCCTCGGGGTCGTTGTTGGTCTTGGCGGCCATTAGCTTGTAAAAGTTGACCGACTCGATGTCCTGGTAGTAGTCGATGGGCCAGTCCTTGGGCACGTTAATCATGCCGATCTCTTGGCCTTGGTAGATGAAGAGGGTTCCCGTCAAAGAGCACATCATCAGCGAGAGCATCTTGCCCGAGAGGACGCGGTATTCGGGGGCGTCGGAGGCGAAGCGTGAAATGGAACGGCCTTGGTCGTGGTTCTCGCAGAAGGATGTTGTCCATCCATCAGTGCCCTCGATGAAGCGTTGCCACTTTTCGACAATCTTCTTCAGCACAGGTAGCTTCCACTCCTCAAAATGGTACTTGTGGGTGCCACCTTGGCCAATGTCCACAATGTCGAACTGGAACACCATGCTGAGCTGCTTATCTTTGCGCCCAACATAGTCGAGCACCCTCTTCGGGTCGGGAGTGTGCGGTAACTCGCCGACGGTCATAGCGTCGTAGCGGTTGAGCACCTTTTCATTCATCTCGCGCAGGAACTCGTGCATGCGTGGCCCGTTGGCGTAATAGCACCATGCCGGCTGTTCGTAGAAGCGTGAGTCAACGATGGGAGCATCGAGAAAATCTGTGGACTTCGAGTACCTGAAAGAAACCAATATTAGCTAGTGTCTGGATTTGGTTAAGGAGAGCAGGGCATAAGGAGTACTAACATGTTCACACAGTCAACTCGAAAGCCATCCACGCCCTTATCCAACCAGAAGCGCATGGCGCTGTCGTAAATGGCTTTGCGACACTCTTCACTCTCCCAGTTGAGGTCCGGCATCTCCTTGGCAAACAGATGAAGATAATATTCGTTTGTATGTTCGTCATACTCCCACGCACTGCCTGAGAAGTAACTCCGCCAGTTTGTCGGTGGAAGGCGTGTTCCATCTTCGGCGTAACGAGGAGGCTTCCAGATGTACCAGTCACGCTTCGGGTTGTCCTTGGAGGATCGTGACTCCTTGAACCAGGCATGCTGATCAGAGGTGTGATTGACAACGAGGTCCAAGACCAGTCTCATTCCTCTAAATATGTGTTAGTACAGGTCCAATCATGGCATTGCGATGCATGAGGTTTACCTCTTGTGGCAAGCTTCAATGAGGTTCTCCATGTCTTTGACTGTGCCGTACGGGGGGTAGACCTCCTCATAGTTTGAGACGTCGTATCCCATGTCAATCTAGCATATCAGACGTGTCAGCCAGTAGTTCCAAACAGGCTGTAGGAATTATGTAAACGAGTTATCAGCGCGTAACAACACAACCGTTAATGAGGAAGAGGCTTGTTACCTGTGGACTCTCAAACCTGTTACAACCCAAGTCAGCACTCGCGCTTCACCATCATGTTCAAAGTGTTTGACAACTGGCGCACACATACATTGGAGAAACCCAAATGATATCAACGCCCAGATTCTGGATGTAGTCCAACTTGCTGATGATGCCCGGTATATCCCCTAATCCGTCTCCATTTGAGTCCTTGAAAGACGCCGGGTAGATTTGATAGACCACTCCATCTTTCCACCACACTCTGTCCAGATTGTCGGCCATGGTGATGATTGTTTTCTGTAGTTCTTTCGGGAAAAACTAGATTCAGGCTCGACAGGATGGCCAGAAACCACTCTGAAACAAGTTGTTGGGTGTTGTGTCTGCTATCTTGAGAAGCCGACAGAAGTGAGTTGTAAGAGACATATATCTCTTCAGCTTACTTATAGATAAGAGAGCCGGTAATAACACGTTAGGCATTACTGCAGTAAGTAGTTACAATCGACGTCAACAGTCCACCAACCTGAAGCTAAACTGCCGATCATCGGTTCCAGATACGATAAAGCAAGGAAGGCACAGCTGAATGGTCAATGCACTACGGCACGCCCGCCGATTCGCTGTTGTATGACACGAAACAAAAGTCCATTGTGATTTGATGTTTCCCCTGGTTCTGTAGACAGATTGTGGTTGCTCAGAACAGAAACACCAACACCTCATTGAACACGGTAAAGTCTTGACCGCGATGCCATCATTAGGGCGGCCCCTTCTAGTCTTGCTGTCGTCATGATGTCGGTAGAAGGCGATATAATTGAGAGAGGCAAAAACGACTTCTTTTCTATCCAAAGAGAAGGAAACCAGAAAAGAAAATGAGAAGAGCGACCTTGACTTGAACTTACCAGCTCGGCATGTTTATCCTGTGACATATCGCATCCGAACATCAAGGGATACTGTGAAATCTCGTGACACTCAGAATGGCACCGCAGGGTCAAACATGCCTGGCAGTTAAACCATTGCCTAATGATAAACGCAAAGCGACTGACATAGATAAACCCCGACGACTGGTTTAGCCCGCGTCTGAGCCATTCTGATTCCAACGGGTTTCTATAATGCCACAAAGACTCGGGCTGTTGGTTTTTAGGTTCCAGGAAATCAGGCACAATCCGTAACGAAGCAGATTGAAACAATCGTGCCCGCCAGAAATTGTATATAAGACGGTGACTATGAAGTCCCCGTCCTCCAGTGCCCGTAAGAACAAAGGGAGAAAGTCCGGGCACCAGAGGAATTAAACGTATACTAGTGTTCGGGGGTAGCAACGCATCTCTCCCGATATTTCGTGCGGGCATAGAATGTACATGATCGGACATCCATATGTCTGATATCCAGGAAACCCCAAAAAATCATGGGCCGAGTTCTTGCGGTAGGTGTCCTCGGAGGTTGAGGCCAGACAGCAAGCGTAGCAACATGCTATTATCTGGCCGAGTCGTTATTGTGCCCGGCACTCGGCTCCCTTGCATGGCATTTATGTGCTGCGTTTCGGGAATACCTTTTATGTTCGGCTGTTTGGTTGAACTATCGTAGAGACCTAGGAAACTCGGACCGGTCCCTCAATCTTTCAGACCGGATGTTCCGTTGCGTCGAAAACCTCCAGCTCATAGGTATCCTCAGTTAGCAGATACGTAGCATAAAATAAATATCGGAGCTCCCTGACGAGTACCTAGCCACGCTGATGGGGTTTGATGCGGACATGAGGTTCCAAGTTCTCAGACCAGTGCTACAGAAGGGGTCCTGATGCATCAGTCTGCAAAAGCTGGGAGGTTCCCCGAGCCCAAAACTGCAAGAGAGATACTGTCTTCTTCGGCGGCGGTGATGACGATAATGGTTAGCTGCTACTCCGCTCATGTGCTCATCGGGATGCGGAAGCCGGGACGATGCTTGGATCACTGCATAGACCGGAGGTCCTTCCTATCCGCCATCGATTCATGGTCAGCATATGCAAATATGTGGGAAAGCCCGCATCTTGGATCAGTCATGTGGAGGTGGATCGTATGCGGAATAAAGTCCAAGACCTACCTACTTACCTCTACTTGTCGTTCTTGACAACTTGATTTTGTTGAGCAAATCCACCGACACTAGTCGCCAGAGAGTTACTCTTTCCCCCGTCGTGCCCTTCTTGTAGTCCCTGGTGATCCTTCACTTCTTCCTTTCTCAGATTCTGTGTGCTTCTTTCCCTTGAGGATAGCCTAGGCCACTGGAAAGTAGTTTGTTGCATGCATGCCTACCTAGGTGCCTATATCAAGGAAACCACGCACGCGGTGCCGCAATGCAGAAACCATCCTGCCGCTCAATATTTTATTGCAGTTCCGCCACGAAATGTCAACTCCAAAGATGCATCTGCTACCACTTGACCACAAATGCAGCTCCCCTCTCTCGCTCTGGTTACGGGCATGACCGGCTTATGGAATAAACTGAAGCAGTACTGCATGCTTCAACAATTTCCCTCTCGCAGTTGGCCACTTAACTCTTTTCCCCAAAGCTGCGTCATTTCAGTTCCTTTAATACCCAGCCCCCAACCCAGATTCCGATGGTGTCTCTTCTCCCATCACACGCTCTCTCCACTGACTTCCATATCATTCAAACTTGATATCAGTCGTTCTGAACGAAGCATCGATACGCTTTATCATCAAACACATCTACCACACTATACTCTCCTGAACCAGAAACACCTTCTCGTGTCTCTAGCATCACCAACAGTGTCACCATCACCAAGCTCGATAACTTTCGTCGTGTCGACAATTCCGTCACCTCAGAATCACCCTTAACGCATCACTACCATGTCCAATAACGACAACCTTGCCCCTCGAGGGCCACACGCATCCGGCGATGAGGAGAGAGCAACATCAACACATCGTCCTTCCACCGCGGCACGCGAGAATGCCACACCTCACCACACCCAGTTCTTCGGTGTGGGCGAATATGACCAACACCTAGCCCATCTTGCGGAGAAGAAGGAGCGAGAAATGACTTTCAAGGACGCAGTCATTGGAGATTTCCGTCTGATAATGTACTCGCTGGGTTTCTCCGGGACTATAATCATGGAGGGCTATGGCTTGGCACTCCTCACCTATCTCTTCAGCGTCGAGCCTTTCAATGCCAAGTACGGTGTCTACGACACCACAACCAGAAAAAATGAGGTATGTTGCACTGCTCGGTCCCATAGTGGTTGGAACCGTGTCGTCTAGGATAGAGGACAATGCTAACACGGATATCTCATCAGCTTGAGTACAAATGGAAGGCTATTTTGCCCTTGTTGGCCCAACTCGGCTCGATCCTCGGCGTCGGCCTTACAGCCCCCCTCGTGAACTTTATTGGGTACAAGCGCACTGTTCTTCTGATGCTCGCCCTCTGCGCGGCATTTGCCTTCGTGCCCTTCTTCGCCCCAAACGTCCTCATTTTGGCGGGCGGCTTTCTGCTCCAGGGCATCCCGTGGGGCGTATTTCAAGTCGTTAGTCCCGCCTACTCCTCCGAGGTTGCTTCACTGCAGATGCGGCCCATCTTGACCACCTGGAACAACCTCTGCTGGATCATCGGCCAACTCTTGGCCTCTGCCGTTGCCTTTGCATTCCATGGGCTTCCAAATGCTTGGGCCTACAGGGTGCCCTTCGGCCTTAACTGGGCCTTCATCGCCTTCCTCTTCGGTGCCATTGCCGCTGCCCCCGAGTCTCCCTACTGGTATCTCAAGAAACACAGGCTAGGAGATGCTCGCAAGGCTACCAAGAAGCTCGTCCGCAAGGGATCCGAGGAGCGCACCGAGGAGAAGCTTGCTTTGATGCAGCACGCCATCTGCCACGAAATGAAGCACGTTGCCGACAACCAAACTAGATGGCAGAAAATCAGCGCCATGTTCAGGGGCGTTGACAAAAGGCGTACCGAAATTGCCAGCGCTACATGGATCATCCAGGCCCTCTGCGGTTCGAGCCTCATTGGTTGGGCTCCCAAGCTATTCGAGTCTGCTGGCATGGAAAGCGGCAAGGCATTGGCCATGAACATTGGCTTGCCCTGTGCCGGAATTGTGGGCACAGTTGCGTCTTGGTGGTTGATGCAAAAGATGGGACGTCGACAGATCATTTTCTGGGGCCTAATCAGCATGGCCGTCGTGCTTACTGCGTGCGCTTCCGCTTCGATGGCTTATAATCCGGCGTCCGGGTTCGCTGCCGGAGCGGTCCTCGTTTTGTATACTGCCATCTATGACCTGACCATCGGCCCCATTTGCTACTCAATTGTTTCCGAGATCGCTTCGGTTCGCCTCCGTACACAGACCATTTCTTTCGCACGTGGCCTTTACCTGGCGGCCAATCTCTTCAACCTCTTCCTTACCCCCAAGATGCTCGGAATGGACTCGGAGAGCTGGAGATGGGGTGCCAAGACGGGCTTCCTTTATGCAGGCTGCTGTGGTATCGCAGCTCTGTACACGTTCTACCGCGTCCCGGAAACCAAGGACATCTCTGTCCGAGGACTCAGCATTCTTTTCCACGAGAAAGTCAAGGCGAGAAAATTCAGCGCCAAGAAGGCTGCGGAGCTGGAGAAATCGCAGGGGGCTGCAGCTTCTAAGACTAGCAGCAGTAATAACACCGTCTCAGTCCTTGACGAGGTTGTAGAGCCTAAGATTGCTTCTCCTGCTAGGGTTGCGTCTCCTAAGAACAACAACTAAGGAGGAAGATGTTATGAACTAGACTAGTCTTGGCGTCGGCTCAGGACGCAGGAATGGAGCTTTTGGGTCAAAATATGACGGAGGACGGAGCCAACGCTGGAGGACAGGCGGTGCTGTCATTCCCTCTACATCGCGGGGTTTAGAAGTTAGCACTGGATAACAGCGACGCCGGTGACGCGGGATTCAAGGAGAATAGTATTTACCTACTCAATAGAGTTAAGTTGAAGTTTTTCCTTATTATTATTGGATTAGGAACAAAACCACGTTACAGAATCGTACCTCTCCTGATGATTCCATGAATTCCATTTGATGTGGTTGCTGTCAGGCTAAGACCTGAGCTGTGTGGCCACATGAAAGGTCCGGATCAAGAGCAACCGGCCCGCTCGAGAAAGTGACAATGAGTTGTTTCTTGCAGCATCCAAGCTTGGTGGTAATGAGAGCACCTCGCTGAGCCATGATGACCTCTCACCTATCCCCCCTCCGTTCCCTCTCCCTTTCCCTCTCCTGCTTGTAGCTGCTCTCCCCGTGTCGATACTCCATCCTCTGTTTCTTCTTGTTCTCTTCCCTCCTGTAATCCTCCAGCCTGACAGGCCTCGAGTCCCTCCCCCTCGAATCTCCTCCGCCCCGTCCACTGATCTTCTGGTTCCACGCATCCAGCTCCTCCGCCCCCTTGGCGTCCTTGGCTCCCAACCCGGCCAGGTTCGCGTGCTTGTGCGTCACCTCCTTCACCTTCCCGCGCATCTTGCCGTCCCAGCCAAATTGTTTGAGTAAAGTGGCGCCAAAGTCGTCGATGGGTACGGCACGGTAGTCTGAGTGGTCGGGAGAGCGATCGCGGTCGTGGGAAGAGGGGGAGTGGGAGCGTTTGCGCTTGGATGTGGTGGAGGAGCCTTTGTTATCGAGAGAGAGGAGAGAAGAGAGGGCTTGCTCTTCAAGGGTTTGTGGGGGTTTTTCTTCTGGGGAGGGGGAACGGGATTGTTGTTGGTGGTGAGAGGAGGAGGTGGGTTTGGAGGAGGATGAGGTGGTGGTGGTGGATTTTGGGTTGATTGTTAGACCCCATTTGGGGGGAGCGGTTTCTGGTTCTTGGAGGTCTTTGGGGTCTCTGGGCTTGTGGTCGCGGTCGCGGGAACGGGATGTTGACCGTCGACGGGAGCGAGAAGCATCGTCTCTCGATGGCCTGCTGGATCTGTTGTGTCTGTCTCTATCTTGGGACCTGTCTCTCCTGCGATCACGGTTTCTGTCCCCGTCCCTATTCCTATCCCGATCTCTGCTACGGTCTCTGCGATCTGAGCGATCCCGGGTTTTCAACTCATTGTCATCGCCATAGGTTGATATTTCGGTGATTGCTTGGACTCGTCCAGTGCGTTGTCCCCCGGTTTCGTCATCGTCGTCTTCGGATTCGGAGGAGTAATGGTTTGAAGAAGCGCCGGCGTGGTGACGCCTGGTGTGGGTTGGTCGACTGGGTTTCTTGGTTTTGAAACTGGATGAGGAAGATGATGTCCCTAGGGCGATTGTCACCCGGGGTTTGGAGTCTTGATCGGTCATTGTGGTTGCTGTTGTCTTAATGGTTGATGTCTCAGGATTTAGACTTTGGCTGTTGGGGATGGATCAATGCGATCTGGTTGACGCGCTAGAGGCGATAAGCGTTCTGCTATGTAGTCGCTTATCGCTTATAATGGAGAACCGTTTGGGTGGTGCACAGACCACGGATTGTCACCCACGTCTGGCTGAAGACTCGCAGGCAGGCAACAGAAGTCTCCTGACACACAAGTCTGGTACAAGCGGACGACTGGATGTAGCCCGCGTCAACAACACCGACGGAGACATGGCTTGAACATAAGTATACACTGCAACGAACGACCTGTCTGCTCAACCTTTTACTTCCGATTTCTATGGTATATGGACTCTACGGCGGGCTGCGACTCCAGCAACAAGCCTGTCTTCTCTTAATGCCCCACGTCCAGCAGGTTGCTCTTCTTTTCAAAGGACCTCCTTTGCCTCTTTTGTCCTCTTTCGCACCCAAGGCAGTCAGTCGCCAGAGCAACTTGATCTGCAAGATCTCTTCGTCATCATGCCGCGCCCATCTGGATGCTACCGGAACCGAACCCCCAAACGCACATCTCTTTCTTCAAGCCTGGTGGTGGGTGAATGAAGTTGTTGCCTATCCTACTACATCCAGCACCTTCACTGCCACCGTCTTCACTTACCTCTAGGTACTTCTGGGCTGCCCCTTTTGTTCACATGCAATGGTTTGCTTCCGTCCGCTCAAAAGGTTTCCTCACAACGAGTGTTGTTTGAGTTGTACTGATGAAAAAGAGTCCGTCCGAGCCATGCCCAGAGTCACACACTTTTAACTTGACTCGCTCAAAGTGCGATTCCCGCGAGAATTCCCACGGCCGTGGACGGATGGATCCTAGTGAGATCTGCCTCCTGCCCAGGAACGCATCGGCAGTCGGGATGGATGTCGGGCGTCAAGGTCAAGCCCTCGTTGGTTAAAGAGGAAGTGACGAGAAGGTCTCACCATTTGAAACTACTACAACGAAGGGAATTGAATGATGGGGATCCGTTTGTTTTGAGAGGGGATCAAAGATTCTGGAGAGCTGCTGCTTCTTAACGAGGACGAAACTCCACCCCGCATCCGGGCAACGAACTATTCAATTGCAGTAGCATTTGATACCTATTCAATTCTGCCATTATTGCCTTTGCCATGCCACCCCGGATTGCCCGGAGTTGGGGAACGGTCCGGTAGTAGGTGTGTAGGTAGGTAGGTTGGTAGCAGGTACCTACGTCTACCTCCTGGGTTTGTTCGTTCCTGGCCACATTTTACAGAACCTCTGTGCGCTGAAAGCCTTCGCCTCCCCAGCGCCGTTTCCCATCCAACACAGGTACAATAGTACTGCATCTCGAAGCACCTTTTTGCAGCAGGAACGCCCCGGCATACTCGCTCGGGTTTTGTTGTTCTTTTCACTGCTGTTTGCCGCCCGATAGGCCCTTAGCATTTTTGGCCTTATCTACCGTGCTTCCCCTCCATCAAAAGAGTTCCCTCCCTACCAGTGCTAAACGTCTCGGCCAATTACCTGGCATGAACCCCCCTCCAAAAGCGCGATCAAAGGCAAAAAACAGAATTTATCACCTTCATTCGCGTCGCTAAATCAATCAACGCAGCGACCAAGATCGCAACGCCATCGTAATCTATCCATCGCCGCCTCGTTTTCCATCTGCTACGGTCCCATAGCACCTAGGTGAACATCCGTTTGATTGATAAACGGATGTCGCGGCCGCCGATGACATGACTGAGGTCGGACCCGCCGACCGCCGGAAGCTGCTGCATTCAAAGCGGGCGGAAGCAAAGTAAGATGTATCCCAATCGATAGAGCGAATCTTTCCGATCATTTTGGGGTACGGGACTTGGTGTTGACTCGACACAGTTCAATTGTGACGTCGCGCAAACGGAAGCTCAGAGAGTTGTATGCTGTAGCAACCGACGAAGATGGCTTCCCCAATCACGACTTGAACGACCTCGATACGCGTCCCGCCTCCCCCGGCGAAGCAAAGTTTCTCTTCGACTGTGAAATACTGCAGTACGTTTGACCGTCCCCTTCTCCGGTGCATCGGCGCCCATCATTTCACCCTGTCTTGTTCGGTAACTTGGCTAACCTTGGGCTTCAGAGGCCGACGACTGGCCGAGCGACTGCTGCCCGTATTCCAACGGCCTCGCTTCGATACCTTACAACATATTGCAACCGCCGATGAATCCTCTCTCGGACATGGCCCTCATGTCGTCCAACAAGTTCAACCTTCGCCGTTGATCCATCCAAACCATACGATTCCCAAGAATGTACAGCACAACGGCTTACCTTCGCCGGCACCGCCAACGTCGAGCATCCGTCATGAACCCGAACGGACCGTGCCATACAACCAAGTACCTAATGGGGCTGCCGGACCGCAGGAGGCCTTGAAGGCGTTCGCCCCTCGACAGGAGATTCAGAAGCTGGCGCAGGTTCAAGGGAGTGCAGTCAAGACAGCCGATGGTCCCAGCGGAGAGTCGAAACCGCCGGCGAAGGAGACGCCTGTGCTCCTTGCGCCCGCAGTACCTCATGGAAATGGGCGATGGAACGGCATCATCAACAATGCACCTCAAGGGCGCGTATTGCCGACTCCGCAGACGGTTGCACCCCCAGCGACAGCTCCTACATCAACTACGAAGACGGCGAATCTGGGTGAAGGTAGGGCGGGACCCAAGGACGACATGGTGTCTAGGGGAGATGCAGAAGAGAAAGCTCGGCCTAAGCCCACAATCACCTCTGTCAACCAGCTATTATCGAATGGCGATTCGATTCGTTACCCCGATACCCTCTCGTCACCCAGCTCAACTGTTCAGTCCGCTCCAACTCCCCTCGGTAATGAAGCGTCAGCAAGCACTAGCCCCGATAATGAGGCATCGCAGTCTTTCGATAAGCCAGTCTCCAGGCCCGAGCAGGAACTCAGGAGGGTCACCACCGATCACAAGGGCGTGGGTCAGTTCACAGGACCATCTGTCGCCGTCCCAGAATTGCGCCCACAGCCTCAACAACCAGGTGTGTATGCCAATGGGGCTTCAGAGGTCCCCATCTCGTCAGCCCCTTCAGTCAGGCCAGCACCTAGCGGAGCAGAGGCACAGCTCCTCCAAGAATCAGCTGCAACGCGGACGAGCCAAGTCATCGGAAAGGCGGGTGTTGCGGGACCCAATGGGGCGCATTCTACTGGTGGGTTGCAGACGCAACACCCGTCAGCTGTGAATGGTGAGGTCCGGAATATGATGAACGGAGATATCCCAGGAAAGCACGTTGCTTCACAGGCAAGTGCTAGCACAGGCGTCACAGTGACAAAGGCCGCTTTGCCTGAGGTTTCAAAGCAAGGTCCCCTTCCTCAAGGCCCCGAAAGTCGCAATAATAGGGCGGATGTTGGTCCTACTCCGATGGACTTGGACAGGATTCCAGCTTCGCAGGCATCGAAATCAGTCCCGAGTGTGCACGCAGTGCAAGAGAAAGCCGCTTTCCAAGAGTCTGCTCGCCAGCCTCAACCCTCTTCAGCCGCTCCGTCAACCACGCCACCATCTACGCAGCCTGCAGTATCTATTGAGAAAACTGTGCCCGGAATTCAAATCAACGCACCACCAGAGACTGAGACTGAGACCCAGGCCAGGACGTCCCGATCATCTCACCCTGACACTGAATCTGCTGTTGCGGACGAAGAAGGTGATATGCCTCCGGGCTTGCTAACTCATCGGCTCAAGTCTCTCTCTACTAGGCTCCGCGAAAGGCGGAGGAAAAGTGTGCCTACGGTTGTCTTTGGAAAGCAGTACAGGAAACCTCGTTTTAGTGACGATACCGCACTGATTGTCAACAAACCAAAGCCCCCTGGTCACATTCCTTCCGAAGACTACTTCGTGACGCTTTTCATTGAGAGTTTTGCTCGAACTTCATCTTGGATGAAACCGCTCGAGAAATTGTTGCACTCCGCCCACAAAACCGTGTCCACCTCCGATCAAACGTTGTCAATACTCGATCACCAAGCCTGCAAGATATTGCGCAGAGTCTACCATCTCCAACAGCACGACAAATGGTCGCTTAGGCAACCTGTCCGTTGCCTGGAACCGGCAAGGCCCGCATCCCATCAGGACTTATTGATTAAGGAGATGAAATGGATGCGGACAGATTTTCGGGAGGAACGCAAGTGGAAGCGCGCAGTTGCTCGAAACCTTGCGAATGCCTGTGCAGAATGGTATTATTCCAGTCCTGCTGATCGAAAACTCCTACAGGTGGACGCTAAGATACCTCCCGTCCGGGCGGTCGACAAGGCTGATACCAGCATGGCAGATGCCCCCGAAACTGGCGAGTCTTTGGTTCCGGAGCTGGATCACTCGGATTCGCCCGTAGGTAACGACGAAGAAGTACCGGAGCTGCCAATTACCACCATTGCACCAGCAACCATCTTTGCCTTGCAGGATGACGAAGTGGTCTTTGAGCTACAGCCTTCACGGACGGCGGATCTTCTGCTAGAAAATCTGCCAATGTATGGTTCCCCGCTCAAGGTTCCCAAGTTCGACTGGATAATTCCAGACTACGATCCCGATGCCAAGTGGAAGAGGCCAGCCGTGCCTCTCAGCAAGTATGTTGAGGGCGAAATGGTTTTGGACGTGAAGCCACAGCCTCAGAAACGTTCCCGATTCCAGTTCCAGGGTGAAGACGAGGAGGAGGAGGAGGAATATGTCTTTGGTGCTCAGCCAGACAAGGGCGCCAAACTGCCGCCCGCAAGTACTGATGTGGCCTTGTTTGCTCCGGAAATGAAGTTGACCAGAGATCGTCTACATGCTGGCCATCAATTTCGCCCACCTTCAGAACACCCAATGCCTGTCCAGAGCTTTTTTGAAAGCCGGATTGCTTCACAATGGACATTGGCAGAGGATGATCAGCTTAGGGCGTTGGTACGTGAGTATTCGTATAACTGGTCTCTCATTTCCTCGATGATCTCTAGCAGATCATCGTTCCCATCAGCTGTGGAGCGGCGTACCCCTTGGGAGTGCTTTGAGCGATGGGTGAACCTCGAGGGCCTGCCTAGTGATTTTGCAAAGACGCCTTACTTCAAGGCTTATCAGGCCAGGATCGATGCTGCCGGGCGGACCATTCTACAACACAATCAGAACGCGGCACAGGGGCAGCAGGTTGGACCTAACGGTGCGGTGGCCCCTATTCCACGGAAGAGGCCCACCAACACCATGCGTGTTGAGAGACGTAGGAACCAAAAACATCTGGCATTGTTTGATGCTATGCGAAAGTTGGCGAAGAAACGAGAGGCGGCGGCGCAGAAACAGCAGGCTCAGGCCACTATGACAGCCATGCGCAAAACAAATGAGCAGCAGAGACAGCAGCCCCAGCAGCAACTCCACCTCCAAGCGAAAACTCCTCAGGAGTACAGTCTCATGAGAGCTGCTCGTGACCAGCAAATTGCAGAGAAGATGGCTCATCTAGCGGCGCGGCAGCACGAGATAATACAGAAACGGGTAAGTAGCGGAGCAGGATCCATCTTTTCTAGTTATCACAAAGACTGACAGAACATTACAATAGCTCCTCACGCAAAGACAAGCCCAAATGGCTGCCACGCCTGGCGTCGCTCAGGTGCCCCAGACAGCAGCGCAACTTGCCGCCGCCAATTCACTCAACAACGCCGCAGCCAGACTCAATATTCCAGGTCAGATGGCCGTAACGGCCCAGAAGCTCGCTCCAGGACGCGTCCCGATGCAGACTCCAGCCGGAATCCCCACGGTTCCCGCCCAACTGGCCGCCAGTGGTCTTGTACCACCTCTTCCCGTCGCCGCTATCCCTCAAGCTCAGCTCCAGGCCATGCAAGCACAGCACCGGCTGCCAATGGTAAATCCTACGCCAGATATCAACCTCGTGATGCAGGCCCGAAGGATCCAAGATCAGCAGAGAGCTGTTGCGGTGCAATTGCAGCAACAACAGCACCAACAACATCAGCATCAACAACAACACCCACAGCAGCCACAGCAGCAGCATCAGGTTCAACAACAAGTGGTCTCACAACAACAACAACAACAACAGCAACACCAGCCACAGCAACAGCAGCAACAGCAGCAACAGCAGCAACAGCAGCAACAGCAGCAACAGCAGCAGCCGCAACAGCAACAACAACAACTACAGCAGCAGCAGCAGCCGCAGCATCAACAGGTTCAAACACCTCAACCAGCACAGCAGCAGTCACAACAGCCTCAAGTGACCCAGCAGCCGCCGCCAGTGCCGCAAGTTCAAATCAACGGTGTTCAAGGGTCGCCAACACCAATGCGGCCGGTGGTGAATAGCCTGAACAATGGCGTCTACATGTCTAGCGTCAGTGCGCAAGCGATGATGGCTTCGTTTAATGCGGCAAATAGCGTTGCTGGGATGGTGACGTCTCCAGGTGCTGGGTTGAGTATGCCGATGCTACCGGCTGGATCGCCGCGTGGTCCTCAGATTCCCGCTCAGCAATTACCCTATACTCATATCCACACTAGACTTAAGGAGTTCGAGACCCATTTCAGGAATAAGAATCCCGGGGCCACCCAGGACCAGATCAGGCAGATGGCTACGGAACATTTGGGTCGATTGATAGTTCAAACCCAACAGCATGCCATGAATGCCGCGGCAGGTGGAGTTGGACACAGTCTAGGTACCGTGGCCACTACAACGAGTCCTCACCAATATGCGCAGCTTCTACGGGCCCAACAACAGGCTCAAGCACAACAGGCTCAAGCACAACAGCAAGCTCCGCAACCCGCTCAAAATCAGCTTACCCCGGCCCAGGTAGCCCAGGCACAAGCGGCGGCTGCTCAGAAGCAAAAACAAGCGGCAGCGGCAGCAGCCCAAGCCCAAGTTCTTGCACAAGCTCAGATGCAGACCCAAACTCAAGCGCATCAGCCTCAGCAACCTCAAGCCCAGCCTCATGTTCAAGCACAAGCAATGGCAGCGGCTCAGCTTCAAGCTCAGGTTCAGCTCCAGGCGCAGGCGGCGGCCCAGAAGCAAGCAGCCCACGCCCATCCTCAGGCTCAGTCTCAGGGACAAGGTCAACCACCCCAGCAAACTCAGCGAGCTCATCAAGTCCAGCAAGTACAAGGGCAGCAGGCACATCAGTTGCCGCAGGGTCCACAGTCACAGCAGATTCAGCAGCAGGTTCAGCAATCCCCGCAGGCACGGCAGCAGTCTCAACAGCCTCAGATGGTACGACAGCCGGTACAGCAAGCCCAGCAACCTCAGCAAATTCAACAACCTCAACAATCCCAGAAGACCCCGCAAATGCAACCCCAGCAGCAAGTACAAACGCCTCATCAACAGGCTCAGAAAGCTCAGCAGTCCCAGCAAGCACAGCTAGCGCAGCAGCAGCAACACCAACAACAGCAGCAGCAGCAACAGCATGGACAAGTTCAAAGCCAAGGCCAAATTCAGGGCCAGGGTCAAGCTCTGCGTCAAGGCCAAGCTCAGGGTCAAGGCCAAGGTCAGGGTCAAGTCCAAGGTCAGGTCCAGGGTCAGGTCCAAGGCCAAGCTCCGGGTCAGGTTCAACCTCAGCACACTCAGCATTCTCGACACACCCCTAATGCCCAGCACGCTCAACACACCCAGCAAGCTCAACACGCTCGGAATGCCCAGCAAGCACACCACACCCAACAAGTTCAGCAGGCACAACATGTCCAGCAACCTCAAGGGCTTCAGGGACAGAGACACGGACAAGTCCATGGGAACGGGCAACAACTTCATCAGCAGCACCAGCATCAACAGCAGCAACCACAGCAGGCACAACAGACGCAGCAGCAGCGTCAACAAGTTCACCCTGCACCACAGCTACCGCAGGCGCAGCAGGCTCAACAGGCACAACTGCCTCAACATGCTCACCAAGCTCAAGCCCAACAGCCTCAAACTCAACAGGCTCAGGCTCCCCAGGCTCAAGCCCAGCAGCCTCAGCCGCCTCAGCAAGCCCAAGCTCAGCAAGTTCAACAGCCGCAACAGGCTAAGCTGACTCAGCAGGCTCAGCAAGCCCAACAGGCTCAAGGTCAACAGGCGCGGGCTCAACAGGCTCAGGTTCAGCAGGCTCAGGCTCAGCAGGCTCAGGCTCAGCAGGCTCAGGCTCAGGCTCAGGCTCAAAGCCACGGGCAAATGCAACCGCAAACTCAACCACAACAGCAACCGCAACCGCAGCCTCAGCCTCAACCGCAGGCGCACCAGCCGCAACAGGCTAGTCAGCAAGTTCAGCATGGTCTGGTTGGACAGCAAGGCCAGCAGAACCAACAAGGCCAGCAAGGTCAGCAATCACATCAAGTTCAACAAGCTCAACAACCACAGGTCCAACAAGCCCAGCAACCTGTAGCTACTCCCCAGCCTGCTTCCCAGACTAGTCAAAATTCTCAGCCTGCTCAGCAGGCAGGAATGGCGCAGCAACAACAGGGACAGGGGAGCGGCAGCGCTGCGCCTGCTCCAACAAAATAATAAACTGAGAGAGAACCACCAAAATACTTGCTTCATGCCGACACTAGGAAATGAGCAGTAGCCATACAATGCTTTGACTGCCGATATCATGAGTTACGGCAGATGATGGTCCTGGAGATAGGGTCAACGATTGGGGGGGAGGAAATTAGAGATTTAGTTAAGCACAAGGCACATGTAGATGTAAGGGCTACTCGAATGTTGTACGTATAGGGAAGGCTTGTCGTTCAGCGATTGCACATGATTAAGGCGTTCTAATGAAATGACGAGCGCATTGAATATAGATATTAGTACGTATACCCTCGGTTCCGTTTGAAAGTGCCTCGAGATGCCACAATGTCCAGGTATCTAGAGACACCAGACGTAGGCTCTGTGCTCGTAGAGAACGACCAGGCATGCCAAGAGGTGTTGTCCAGCCAGTGTACGTACCTAACTCTATGTAGTGTACGTATGATGTGCAGTGATAAGATAAGACTTTTCAAGCAAAAGCCCCACTAAAAAAAGTTGCGAAGGAAAATCAATGGAATCGGATGGCAATCGTTCAGCACTGCAGCCAAAGCCTGAAGACTGAAGACCGAAGACTTGGCTCTGCCTGTCTTGATCAACCACTTTTTCAACATCTTCCTACCTCTACCTTCTTCATTGTAATCCCGCCACCACAACAGAGCTCGAAATGGCCAACAAGAGAAAAAGAGATAATGCGCCCGAGAGCGAACCTGTCGGGAAAACAGAACAGCAATCAACCAAGAAAGTCAAGGCCCCAGCGCCGACCAAGGCTGCGCGCGCCAGCTCTAACTCCAGCACTTCCGCGACCCCATTCAAAGTGGGCAACACCTCCCCGATAACTATCCAAGTCGTCGCCGGCTCCTACGATCGCGTCCTTCACGGTATTACCGCCACCGTTACTCCCACGACCACTACTACAACCACTGCTACCCCCTCGAAGAACAACAAGAAGAAGGCCGCCGCCGCCGAATCCAAACCCTCATACAAAGTCTCCTTTGCCGACACCTTCCTCTTCAACGCCCACGCCTCCGCCATCCGATGCCTCGCCCTTTCCCCTCCCTCGGCGCCCACGCCCGGCCAGAAGGGCGGTCAGAAGGTCCTGCTAGCCACGGGCGCCACCGACGAGCGCATCAACATCTACAACATCTCTGCGCACCCGCCCTCCGCCAAGGCCGCTGACGACCAGAAGCTTCTCAACAGCATCACCCCCCGCCCGGTTCTCGAGAACCCCAAGAACCGCGAGCTCGGCACACTCCTGCACCACTCCTCCAACATCACCCGCCTCGTCTTTCCCAACCGCTCCAAGCTGCTTTCGGCCTCGGAGGACTCCACCGTCGCCGTTACACGCGTCCGCGACTGGGCGTTGCTGCATACCTTCAAGTGCCCCATTCCCAAGGCGCAGGGCAGGCCGTCGGGCGACACGGCTGCGCTGGGAGCGGTTCCCGCGGGTGTCAATGACTTTGCGGTGCACCCGAGCAACAAGATCATGATTAGCGTTAGTAAAGGCGAGAGGAGCATGCGCTTGTGGAACTTGGAGACGGGCAAGAAGAGCCGCGTGCTGAACTTCCCCAAGGATGTTTTGATGGAGATTGGTGAGGGAAAACACAGCACGGGCGAGGCGAGAAGGATCGTGTGGGGCGAGGACGAGTTTGCGGTTACTTTTGATCGCGATGTGCTGGTGTTTGGCATGGACTGTCGCCCGAGGTGCAGGGTCATGAGGGAGGATGTGGTGGGGACCAAGATGACAAAGGTGCACGAGATCAAGTATGTCAGTCTTGGCAAGGAGGAGGGACAAGAGGAGGAGAAGCATCTCCTGGCGGTGGCGACGGAGGATGGGAGGATATTGTTCTTTGATACAGCTGAGTCCGAGTTGATTGAGCCACCTGCTCCCAAGGAAGAGGAGCAGCAGCATAAGACAAAGCTCTTCGAATCCAAGACGCCCAATGCCAAGCTGATCGCTCAGCTTGGCGGCAAGACGGCCGGCGTGTCGGGTAGAGTTAAGGATTTCATTATTCTCCCCGTGGAGGACGAGGAAAGCGGTAAGAGGTCGTGGTTCGTTGCCAGCGCAGGCAGCGATGGCCGCATCAGGATCTGGCGTCTTGAGAGCGGCGACCTTCGTGTTGGCAAGGAGGAGCGCGTCAAGGCCGACAGACAGGTCGGCGAGCTGTTGGGCACGTACGAGACGGAGAACAGAATCACTTGCTTGGGCGCGTTTGTCATGATACCCAGACCCGAGGGATCGGTCGAGAGCGAGTATGAGTTTGATAGTGAGGAGTCGGAGGATGAGGAGTCAGATGACGAGTAGAGCAGTAGTATGGGATTGGAGGTGATGTTTTATTTGTTTAGCATAGTAATTGATGTACAAAGAAAGGATTGGTCATGACCTCTCACGGAGTTGGGATAATGTATTGGGAATGTGTGATTGACACTATGTTGGTCCTTGAGATGTCTATTCGTGTTGTACCAAGACATTTTGGGGATGAAAAAAATCCGTCGCTCGCCCAGCTGATCATTATTACAACTCCGTCTGCCTGGTTCCTCCTCTGCGACCCTTTCTCTGTCACTGGATTTGTCTTTATATTCGCATCAATGTCGTATGTTATCTGAAGCCCCTTTACCCTGTCCAGCACTCTACCCTACTTATTCCTTCAAACGCCCTCAAGAATTTCAGTGGTGGTTTTGATACTTTACAGCTATCACAAACTCATGTCCAGACACCAGGTGCATCACCTGTACATAGAATCCAGGTATGAACCAACCAACCATAATAGGCAAGATGGCCGAGCGGTCTAAGGCGCCACGTTAAGGTTAACCCTTAATCCGAGTTAAAACTCAGTTCCGTGGTCCGAAAGGGCGTGGGTTCGAATCCCACTCTTGTCAACATGATTCAGTTAACTCCACCAGGCTCGGGTGGGGTGCCATATTTTTGAAAGTTCATCTTCTTTTTTGACTATTCTGCTTTTGCTCTAACATTGTGGTTGGTTAGCTTTTGGTAGTTAGTGAATGGGGTTAGATTGCTACACCAATCCATCTTTGTGTTTCTTTTGTTGTGCGACGGGTATAAAGTGAGCGAACGGCCTCGTTCAGAAAGACAATGACAGAATCCAGAGATGAGACACCTTTTTTACTCGAGAAATGCAGACCAACATGGTCGTCGGTCTCTTGTGATAAATGCCTGCTGTGGAAAAGATACAGCACCGCTCTAAGAAGTTTGTCGGCACAAGACCGTTGCTCAATGTTCGTTGGCGGTAATAAACAAATGTTGTATTTTATTCGAAAGCCAAGCCCTGGTCTTGCTGCAACTATGCCGAACCCAATGTTGGCTGTGCTTTTCGGGCAACCACAGTCAACACTATCTGACCAATAACATCCATCACCCGTCTTACCCCATCTTCATCCCCAAATCATCATCAGGAAAGTAGCACGATCCTGACCTCGATTATTACGACTTATCCAGCTCCCAACCCATTGGTTCTAAGTCTCAGGTGCAGAAGCCGCATCCGTCATTTGAACGTCTTCATCATTTCCACCTGCTGTTGTCGTTGTTGCGGGTTCCTCCTTACTTGCGCCCTCGACGGCGGACATAGAGACATCGCCGTTTTCAGGTTCCCGATTCTCATTGTCCTCCTCGGTCGAGCCATCACCATTGGTGGTGGTGGTGATTGCCTTGCCGTATACAGCGACCTCAAGGGCGGTCCAATCGTCGCCACCGTCGATGACTAACTCGTAGAAATCTGGGGACTTTTGTTGCTTTGCGAGTTCGGCGGCGTCTTTGAGGATGGCTTGAATTTGATCCTCGTTTCCTTCGAGACCGCTGCCGGTTTCTCTTAGTTGCGCTTCTAGGATTTCTGGCGAGGGAGGCTCGATGCAAATGAAGCGCGCTGAGAAGTCCCAGTCTTTGACTTGTTGCGCGCTCTGTTGGGGGGGTTGAATAGGTGAGCAGGGGACCGCTTAGGAGTGGCAAGTGGGATGGTCGGAACTTACATCGTGGTTCATCTCCATAATAGCAACCTTGCCTGCCTCACTAACGGCTTGTATGTGTTTCCTGCTCGTGCCTTGGCTGTAGTCTCCTTCCGTAAACTCGATAAGCTGGTCGCCGTCTCGCATCATGTTGAATGTTTGTGTGTCCACAAAGTAGTAATCCTGTCCTTCCTTTTCGCCTTCTTGAGGTTTCCGGGTGATGTGAGCTGGTACGCGCGTAAAGACGCCGGGGTGTTGGCTGGCTAGTCGCTTCGCAACACTGAGTTTGCTGGTCCGGCTGACGTCTACGACAACTATTGGCTTCCGGTCATCGGGGAAGACGGCATCAACAGCAGCCGTAGAATCCTCTGCCTCTTGTGGCTCGGGTTCTTTAGGCTTGTCCTGGAAAATGACGTCGATGTTGTCATCACTATCGATGTCGTCGAACATGGCCAGTTTGGATCTGCTGGCGACTCTGAGAGCCACCCAGGTAAGACTGTTCTTGGCCTCAATTGCCCTTTGCTTCTCCTTGGGATCTCTGGCCATCTCGATATCGAATTTGGCATCCTCTAACTTTCGTTCGAGTGTCTTGAGGTCAGGTTGTTGGTACCGTTCCGGATTTTCGAGCTTCTTCCAAGCTTCGTCCGGGTCCTCATCTTGTAGGAAGTCCCAGTTCATCGAGCCCATCGGTGCATCTCTCATTTTCTTTGCTGTTGCTAGCTTGCCTGCCGCAATCTTGGCATCAAGGAACGCTTGAGGGGAAACGGCGGGCATTTCGATAGGCGGGCAGCCCTCTACCTTCCAGTGCACCCAATTCTTGTCCCTGCTCAGGACAGTTTCGACCATCCGGTAAAAGTAAGGACCTTCTGGGCCTAGCTTGAGGTAATCGGCAATTTTCTTCTTCATGTCTAGCACCCAGTTGGTGTCTTCCTCACTCAACTGTTGATCCGAATGTGATACGGACTTGTTGGGTGCTTTGATGCTGGCGATTTTTTCCTTACCCTTGGGTGAGAGGGAAAGTAGGAATTCCATGATGATCAAGGCTTGAACGAGTACGTTTCGACGTAGGGCAAGATCACCAATCTGCGTTTTATTTTTGGTCAGTTAAGGGACAGAATAACAATAGTGAAACAGGGAACGGACCTCGAGTTTAAACAAATCACGACTGGTAAGATACTTTGGGTTAAAACCATTAGCCAACTCGTCATCCTCACCTTCACCACGCTTCCTCTTTAGTGCACGCTTGCTCTCATCGGACTTGTCCTTGGAATCCCTGGACCGTGCGCTTTGATCAACCTTGATGCTCTGGAAGGTAGCCATAGTCGCTTCTAGACCAGACTTGAAGGAGGCAAACTGCGCGGGCTCAAACAACTTCTTTGGCTGATTGAAGCTCTCCTGCAGAGACCAGAAGATAGGGTATAAAGCCTCCAGATCGAGCGCCTTGTCCTGCTGCTTTTTGGCATCTGTAGCTCCGGGCTTGGGAGTTGATCGCTGCTCGCCGGTCTTTTGGGCAGATTCGCCCTGCGTCTCCGTGTCGACATCCATTCTATCGGCAGAAGCATCCTCTGTCTTTGTTGGCTCTTGATCCCATGTGGTAACATTTTCGACGTGGTACTCTCCTCTCAGGTTGACGGAACTTCTATCTCCGAGCGGAAAGCTCTGAAAGAGGTAGATAAACACTCTACCAGAGAACGCTGGATCCAGAGCCCTTGATAGACGTCGAAGAAGCTCATTGCAGGTACGGAGAATGACCAGCTTCTTTTGACCAAAATGCTTTGCTGTGATGCGCTCTCTGCGGGACTCGAGAAAGTCAAACACCTTGCGACAACCGGCAATGGTCTGACTGTCAAGCAGCTCCTCAACCAGCCACAGAAGCAGGGCGGGATCACATTGCTCGTCATCAGAAAGGATGGACAGGATGTCAAAGAGGTTCCATACTCGGGCAAAATCTGGCGAATCGATAGAGGTGGTGGCCTGGCGAAGTCAGTCAGCTTGGGCGCAACCTAAGCTGGCAAACTCGGCAGGATCTGAAGTCAAACTCACGATCAGGTTGCTGAACGTGTCTCTTACGGCAGTCTCGATGATGGCGTGCCGCTGTGTCCGCTTTGCATCGTTTACTTCACCAGCTTGGCTGGGATCCACGCCAAGGGCCTCGTTCAGCTGGGTCTGGAGATCTTGAAAATCGGCCTTGTCGAGAGGAGGTTCGATGGATGCCGTCGGCTTTACTGCTTCTGCGCGTGCCAAGAGGTTTTCGAGAAAGGTCGAAAAGGCGGCGACACCGGGGACGCCGTGGCTCTCAATCACGCTGGAAGGCATCTTGGCTCATTGCCTGGCAGCCTATGTCGATACTGAGTGAATGTATGCTATCGATATTAGTTTCGTCGAAGTCGATCGCGCGAGAAGGCTGAACGAAGTGCGAGCAGGTTTGGCGAGAGGTGAGTCTAGTGTTGCCGGCAATTCTCTGTGAAGATGATGCTGATAGAACCTATGGATTGGAGAATGAATGCCTCTGTCCGGAGTATAAGGTCAGTGAACCCTGAAACAAAGGGAAAGACCAGCAAACCGCGCTGTTTGTGAGATTGGTGGAAGTAAAGATGGGAGAAAGAAAAGAGTAAGGATTCAGATAAGTTCACTTGTTGTTGACTGAGACAGACACCGGAGATGGGAGCATTACACTACAGTGGAAGCTGTGACAAGGCTAGATGCAAGTGGGTCTTTTGTCCGTGCTTGAGCTGCAAAGGCTCCATTTACAGTCCGATGCTGGTTTGTTTGATACCTTGGTACACAACGAAGGTACTCCTAGTAGTGTACACTAAGCCATCTATCACAAATAGTGCCAAATCTTACAAGGGCAAGTCAGAATGGCCGAGTACAATTCGTAAAGACATTGAGAGAATTTTATATTACATGTGGAATATTAGAAATAGCGTTATCAAGGTAAACTCACGTATTATCTAGCTATGAAAACGTATAGGAAAGTTGACACGAGGTCTCGAGCTAACAAACAAACCAGTATGTACTGGACTGCATTCGTGCATGTGGGGAAGGTGTGGATGCGAGGACTGTGACACTCCTGCAAGGCTGTGAGCGCTAAGAGGTTCGACTCTGAAAGGTACCTTGCAATTTGCGGTGTACCTACTGCCAACTCGAGGTACCTCCAGCTCGCAGTTCCTTCAGTAAGTTTGGAAGCTGCAAACGCTAACACAGGTACCTCCAACTTATCGCTGATAGAGATCCCGGTAGTGACCCGTACCGTCACTCTCGCAATTGGAATATCGGACTTCCAAATTTCCAAATACACCAGCAACGCGGTTGGACGAATCTCTCGCCCTCTGCACGCGACAACAACTCTATCACACATTTACCCCAAAATGCCGCCGGCGAAACGAGTAAAAAGCAGCGCGAATGCAGACAAAGGGCCAGCCGCTGGCTCGGGACGGCCCACAACCCAAGACTTGGAAGGGGACAGCGAGTTTGCCAACCTTGCGCGCCAGCATTGGCTGAA